AAGCAGTAGTACTGTCACATTGTGTTATCATACAAATGCCATTTTGTGTGATTTGTTTTAATGAGTGTCACTTGTTGATATGTTTAGTGATTTTTGACCCATATTTAATGCCAAACGCTCTAAGTGTTTGGAAATATAATAAGTCTGACATTATTATTTTTTCTTAAATCAACACATAACACATTGGCAGTTGTATCTCATCTCAAAAGTTGCAGTGGTAGTTTGTTAGATATTGTGGGGCTAAAACACCCTGCTTTTTGTGAAATCTTTTCTGGAGAACCTCATACTTTTTAAAAGCAAGTATAAAATTTTTAGAAATACTCATTTGTGTCGCTTTTCTGAAGAATCTATGAAAATTCTTGTACTGTAAGAACCTGTATTAATTCATTCTTATTTGAAACTGAAGGATATACATAGGACATTGCTTCTTTAGAGCAAGAGTAGCACTATTGGAGTTATCATTTCTATATGCAGAGTGAGATTAAAACCGAATATTTGGTAGTATTCTAAGAGAGAAAATTAGTTATTATAAGTGAACTGTCTCAAGCCAGTGATTTAAAAAGAAATAAAAGGACTGAAAGTTATACCATAAGTGCACTATTTGTTTAATTCAGTATCAGGGGTTTTGTTTAACAATGATAATAATATGGTAAAGCTTATCAGTAAATAAACTTTCTTTTTTTCTTACATTTCTTCCACTCTCTTGAAAGCTGGTATCATTATGCTGGTTTCTAACTTCAGACTGAATAAAAAGCTAAAGATAATCCACTATTACAATTAATTCATTCATATATATCCATCTGTGCATACATTATGATTATTATTCTAATAAATGAAGTTTTTGCAGATTTGTTAAGGTTCTTGCAATCCTTAAAATTCCACCAATAAAAAAAGGGAGAACCTTCTATGTGTATCATAAACATTTAGTAACAAAGCAATGAAAAAATACAGAGATCAGATGAGGTAGTCTGAAGGAGAACTCCACAAACGATGTGTACACATCTGTCCTTCAGCACTGACTAAACTGCTTTACAGTTCAGTTCCTGTTGCCTGTTACTGCTTTGCTATAATCACCTGACTCACTCAAGACAGAATCTATTCAAAATTTCCCAGTGCTTCAAAAAAAAAAAAAAGGGCTTCAAGTCATTCTTTGAAACTGATCTATGCGGTGAAGTAAACTGTGATGCCAAGCAGCAGTCACATTCAGGCTATTACTCTGACAAAATATCTCTTCTGATAAGTAAAGGACAATTATGGTACAGACTGTCACTGTAGAGTTATGCAGTTCTATGTGTTTGACCTGTCTGTGCAACTCTAAGAAATCTTCAAAACCTCCATGACAATAAGTATAATTTGATTGAATAATAGCTCTGTTGCCTTTGCTGGGAATTAAGAGAATAGTTCTTAGGAGTTACATGCCTTTTGTCTAAGAACGAAACTCTCCTTAAAGGTGTAAATCAATCAACTGGAATTCAAATGCAAACCTGACAGTCCCTCACAGCCAACCAGGAAATAGAATGAGATATGTGATATAGTTGGCTTGGCTTTACAAGAGTTGTTGCAGAATGATTCTAAACCTATTTTCTTTTTTTTTTAATAATCTGCATGAAAATGCTAAAATGATCAATTTTTTTTATTCCACATGTAATGGGTTGACCTTGGCTGGATACCAGGTGCCCGCCCAGCCGCTCTATCACTCCCCTTCCCAGAGGGACAAGGGAGAGAGTAAGGTGGGAAAAAAAGAAAACAACTTGTGGGTTGAGATAAGACAGCTTATTTAAAGCAAAAAGCAAAGCGAAGCTTGCGCACATGGAAGTGAAGGATAGCAGGTTTTATTCTCTACTTCCCATGAGCAGTGATGGTTGGCCACTCCTGAGAAACAGGGCTTCAGTGCAGGGTTTCTCAGCAGGCAGCCGTTAGACAATGAATGCCCACCCTCCTGCTTTGTGCCTTAGCTTTTATATCTGAGCTGGCATGGTATGGTGTGGAATATTGCTTTGGTCAGTTTGGGTCAGCTGGCCTACTTGTGTCCCCTCCCAGGATTTTGCCCTCAACTAAGGAAGGAATGTTACAGTGTTGGTGCTGTGCTCAGCAGTAGCCAAAACACTGGTGTGTTATCAATACCCTTCTAGCTGCCAGTGCAAAGCACAGCACTGTGAGGGCTATTGTGGGGAAATGAACTCCAGCTCAGCCAGACCCAATGCAACACTTTTTTGCTGTTTTCTTTTGTTGCGTGAAATTGTGAATTTGGTAACCCTAAACTTTCTTGGTTTTGCCATGGAATAGAATGTGCAATCTGCAGAGATTATGCAGAAGAATTTTTGAACTTCAGCAATCTATGCAGCCTTTCTTACTGAATTATGAGCCAAACTAATCATAACTGTAGATAATTTTTGTATTTTAGAGTTCATATATCATAGAGTTCAGAATTACCATGTCATGCAGTTCAATTAGCAATTGAGGATAAAAGGCTTAATTGACTTCTGTACAGCTGGGGCTGCTGACTTCTGACTTCCTTGAAACTCACATAATGGATTCGCAAAACATTCATTTATTAAAAAAAAATATATATGCAGTGACCAGTGACAGAACCCAAGCCAGTGGCATGAAGTTATGTCAGGAGAGCTTTAGGTTGAATATTAAGAAAAAGGTTCTTCATCGAGAGGGTGGTTGGGCACTGGAACAGGCTCCCCAGGACAGTGGTCACAGCACCAAACCTGACAGAGTTCAAGAAGTGTTTAGACAATATTCTTATGCACAAGGCATGATTCTTGAGGTGTCCTGTGTAGGGCCAGGAGTTGGACTTTGGTGGTCCTCAAGGGTCCCTTCCAGCTCAGAATATTCTGGGACTCTGTAATATAGTTTTAACTTACTAAGAAAAACAAGATTTGCTGATCATTCTGTTTTTCAAATAAAACATTCAGCTTGAAGCAAACTACATTTCCTGCAATGCACCAGCATTTTAATAATGGTCACAGAACTGTGTTTCACACTCATTTACCACAGTGTAGTCCATGGAATTTCATTATTTGTACAGTGTTACAATTTTTACATAATTGTTAATTATTTATATTTGTAAAGTAAACCAACAGAATAGAAGGAAAAGAAGCAGGAAAAAATAATATCCATTAAAAAAGAAAAAACATACCATGAGTAATACACAGAACACATATCAGTTTGGTGTTACTGAAAATACTGACAATACTCACAGAGCATTCACCTTCAAAATGCTACACAAAATATATCTTGTAATGCTGTTATGTGACCATTGTGAAAATTATTCTTCAAAAGTTATTTTGAAGGAATACTTTTTTACTAACAACTTGATCTTACATAAGTTAGGATCAGTTAGTTCTGACCTCAAGAAAGATCTGATTCTTAGCTTGCAGGCCTCTTCATGGTGAGCATACCAGACATGCCCACCCTGGAAGCTCAAAATACAAAAAAACCTATCTAGATGTGAAATAAGCACACTGCTACAAGACCTTTGCCAGATTCATATTTTCTCTGTGAAGTGTATAAGCCTGGATGAGCACTGTCGTTAAAAATTCCAGTTATTGAAGAATAAAGTTTAGATATTCTCTATGAAAGACTTCGCTGCGGTGTCCTGCTGGGAAGGCATAAAGGAAAATGACTCATTTAAATGTCTATGAATTTTTTATACTGTTGGTGTAGCACAAATGAGAACTCCAGCCAAAATGACAGAAGGGTAGCAGGAAACTTCAAACCACAGAGCCAGAAAAGTCTTGCAGAACCAAGTTACCATGACTTGTGTCCCGTAATGCTGACATCTGACTCACAGCTGGATCATGGAGTGTGCAAGTTGTTAGTCAATTCCTGAATATATAGCATAATCATAACTTCTAAATGTTGCCTGTCCATGTTTTTATAGCTTTTTAAGGATGAGTGCTTTCAATATTGAATTTCAGTTACTCGGTTTCAATATGTCTTGTTCAGTATGGATATATTCTGTATTTTATTCATGGCACCGTTTTCTTTTCAAGTTGGGTTTTTCTTTTTCAGAGTTGCCTAATCCTTGTTTCTTTATTTGTACTGTCTAAAACGTGTCGGAGCCCTGATCTCTGAAACAACAGCATTTAGCACTTCAAAGATCATGAACCCCTTTACGTATTGTTTATATTTCATTCACGTACTTACTCAATTTTTGTTGTGCTGTTATTCCTAACAGTCGCTGCTGAGCGTTTTTCCAAACCTATCCACAGTGAAATTCTTCCTTTATTTTAAGAACCTTTTGAATTTCATATTTGTGGTAAGAAAATAAAATGATAGTTTTTTCAAGCCATCAAATATATCCATCCTTCAAAAAGAGGTTATAAATATTGATGGATAAATCTTGCATTTGTTCTTTGTCACAATGTTATTGAAAATATTGCTATCTTCTAGCTATGTTACAGTGTGGTAATTAGGAACTTGGGCATAAAGTCAAAATCACTAGTAATCACTTGTAATAAATATTATCCAATTTAATATATCTGAGATCTCTTAAGCCACATAGCTTTCATGTCCTATGAGGTAATACATTAGCATGATTTTAGAATACAATTAAGATATTGTTTTTTAAGGTAGGACTGTGAGAAAATTCTGTTGGATTTCTCTAAGAATCATATTTTTATATAATTTAAACATATTTCATATATTTTATAATGATAAAGCAGAAAAAACCCTTCTCTTTTAGTGTATCGTACAAAGTCTTAGGAACAGCTTTGCTAGTATCTGGTCGTCAGATCAGGGAAGATAAACTTAAGTTATGGGAGTCACAATGGTACAAAAGTCTGCTTTCCTGAAATTCACATTGTAGGTCATTGGTGAAGAGCCAGTTTTGAATAACACTTCTTCTCAAACTGGAGCACATTCAAATAGGGGACTAATTTGCGTTATAACAGGGATCTATTATGTCAATATCATCTTATCTTGCATCTAATACTTAATGCTTCCTGCAAGTTATGACTTACAGTAGCTATATCTTTCATATTTTACAGGGAAGAAAAAGAGAAGTAGAGCAATCAGTGTGGAAGCAGGAAGGGAGTTGTGGTGAAGTAGGTTGTCATAGGATGGGAAATAAGACCCCAGCAATAACTAAACGAATCATTGTTACATTATCAACCCCATTTTCAGCAGAAATCCAAAACACAACCTCATACCTGCTACTATGAAGAAAATTAACTCTACCCCACCCAAACCAGCACATGGAGTGATGCAGTTTCTCGGCCCTTTCCCTTTGCTCCTCAGGTGGTAAACCTGAGGTGTTACCTTGGTCTGTTTTGTGCCTGCTTGCTGGTATGCTTGCTGGAGTGAGGAAATGTCCTAACCTAGCAGATCTGAAGCATGCACAACTCTCATTTGCAACTTCAAAAATCACTCTTTCGAGGAGTAGGACAGTGGTTCCCTGCCTAAGGCAGATCACCTTCCCTGGTTTTGCCTGGCCAAGCTACATGCTACAATGGGTAGGGGTAATTTAATATTTTCCCCTTACTGATACACTATCTGAGAAGTTGTAAGAAGGAAGAAGCCTCTTTCTCTTCCAGTTGCTGACCCTTGAATGGACACATCTCATTGTTTGTACCCATATGAATATTTAGCTGTGTTGTATGTGGGTGCACTGGTTAGTTGCCACTGATTGTTATAAGGTATTTCTTTGTCTTTGGAAAGCACAGCTGAAGATTTTCTAGATTGCTACTCATAATTGCTTTAGCTGGAAATAATTGCATATAGTTTTCTTCCCAAATAAATTGTGTATTCTTTCATAGTTTTATATCTGTCCTAGTTTGTGTTGGGATAGACTTCATTTGCTTCTTAGTAGCTGGTGCAGTGCTCTATTTTGGATTTGAAATGAGGATAATGTTGATAACATGATGTTTTGGCTGTTCCGAAGTACTGCTTACCCTTACTCAAGGACTTATCAATGCCCTATAACAAGTGAGGAGGTTTACATGAAGATGTGAGGGAGCATGGCTCAGATGGGTGACCCGAACTGGCCAAAGAGCTATTCAGTACCACAGAGCATCACACCCATATATAAACCCGTATATAAACTGGGAGAGTTACTTGGAGCAGGGGCTGATTGTGGTTTGGGGACAGGTTCAGGATCAATCAGCAGATAATGAGAAACTGTACTGTGCTTCACTTGTTTTTCTTGGGTTTTATATTCTCTCTCTCTCCTGTTTAATACAACTGTTACTATTGGTGGTAATAGTAGTAGTAGTAGTGGTAGTATTTTCAATTATTAAACTATTCTTATCTGAACCTCTGGGTTTTGCCTTTTTTCTGATTCTTCTCCCCATCCTACTAGGGAGTGGAGAGAAGTGAGCAAGTGCCTAGTTGCCTGATAAGGTTAAACCATGACAATTTCTTTCTAAGAGGAGTACAGAGGAATTATCTTAATTTCTTGGCTGAGGAACAGTACCAGTTCTTATTCCATAAATAGCAGTCTTGAGGTACTCCTGAACATGCTAAAGAGACAGCAGTTCTTCTGGAAAAAAATAGAAATATGTGTCCCTGTTGGGGAACCCTGGTGGCCTAGTGGTTAGGTTGCAGCACTCTCACCACTGCAACCCGGGTTCGATTCCGACCAGGAAAAAAAAACCTCCCCCGGGCAGATGGAGCTCATGAGCCCTGTAAGGCAATCTATCTAAGAGAAGTCACTGCCAATGTCCAAGCTCGCTCGGCCCCGGCAGATGAACCTCAGGATTAAAGGGTGGGCTCAGTTCAGCGCACACTGTGTCTCACCTAAAAAATCCACTGCGCAGGCTCGAAGGGTTAATGACCTTTCCCAAATCTTTGCTCGCGAAGACTGGCCATACATATACATACATACATACAGGTACATCCCAGACAGCTACTGCCCAAATAACAGTAACAGCACTTACCATGTGTTTGTGTAGATGAAGTAAAACACAACACAAGTTTCATTTCTTTCTAGTGAATGGAAAGATTTCACAAAATACTAAACATCTTTTGGGACAATTATATTCACTGACTTGAGTGTCATGAAATTTTTTCCTGTTCTTGGATGCGCAAAAAACATGATGGAATCTGAAGCAGACAGTTTTCTAAAGCATTATACCACATGCTACAGAAAATCTTGTCAAGAGGTAGGTTGTCAAAAGATAAAACACTGCAGGCCTCACCTATTTTCTCAGCTGTTAATGAATATTTAAAGTTTTACAGGAATATCAGTACACCTGCTTTTTTAAATTGTTGACAAGTTTAAAAGCTAATTTTTAGATTTCATTTTATATTATAAAAATAATTCTGATTATTAGGAAAATCATGTTTAAGCTTCTGTAAATAAAAAGACCATTGAATTGTCACAGATGTGTCTAAACCTGAAAAAAGCTGTATCCTTCCAAACTCAGTGTCCCAGTGTGCTCTGCAGCTGCTTATAATTTGGAACAAAACTGGATGTGTGCTGCCACCCTTACTCCTTTGTTTTGTAAGGACCTCCATGAACACGGTCTCTAAGAGGACTTGTAACATCATCTGTTCAGACCCATGTAGTAAATAATTGGGAAAACAGGGGTTAGTAAATTAATGGGAAAACATGGATTAGCATGAGTTATATGCATTTCTCCCTCAGAAAGAGCTATCTCATCCTTGTAAAATAAGGTTATATTAATTCATTTATGTGATACTGCATCCTGTTTGAGAGAGCTGTATCTACCAATCAGTTAAATCCATCAGTTGCTCTCCATGGAATAGAAAATGTGCAGAATTTATATCTAGAAAAACTGACTGATTTACCAAGTGTAGGAGCTTCTTTATTCTCCTTTTTGATTTTCAGCAGAGATTTATAGGGGTATTTAATTAGTCAAAGTTTTAAAATATTTTTCTAATGCAGAAAATAAAAAGGGTATGTAATTTGTATTCATTAATGAAGGCAGCATATTAAAAGAGTCATGTGAAAACACATAAAAGATACTTAAAACATTCTTAGCCTTGCTAAAGCAAAAACGGCATAATCCTTTCGATATTCTGTTGTAAGTATTCTGTTTTCATGAAAAGCTGTTTTGCTGGAAATTCAGTGTGGCAGAAAACAGCATTATGCATTTGAGCAGATGCACTGGCTCACTGTGTTAAAGATGGACACCTGGGGTCCTGCATTAGACTTGCAGAGAATATGGAAATATCGCAGATGAAAACAGATAGATTGAAAGTAGGTGAGTGTGCATTTTTAGATTCTCTACTTAACAAACTTTTGGCGATATGAGTAGGTGGATCTTTACATTCTCTAGAATTACTGTTTAAAACTTGCAGATTCTTTTTGTTTCAATGCACAGTTCTATAGGGACATGAAAATGAAATTTTTACCTTAGAGGTCTTCCTGAAGACCTCTGGTATCTGAACTACTGGTAACTAGCATCTGTAAGGAATGTGACATAGTTATCCTTTTTTATCTGGTAGTTTGATCTATCTTTCTATATCTTTCACTTTGTCCTAGCCTAAAGCACAGGTCATGTTATTCTTTATCATACTAATTCTCATATTAATCATCATGTTGTTTCTGCATATTGACAAGTGCTTGAAAATAATAATTATGGTTGTTCTTGTTTGAAGTTCCACACTTCAAACAAGCTTATATTGGTTTCCTATGTGGACTTTTTTTTTTTAAATCTTTTATCCTGCTATATAATTTAAAGGAAACACTGTGGCAAAATCAAGTGTTTCAGGTTGTACATGCTGATTACATGAAGGCCTACTTATTTTGCCTCCTAAGGCAGTGTCAATACGAGCAGAAGAAACCTCATGAAATCTTAGCAATGAAATAATACATGCTATGGTCAACACTCTGCCCTGATGAAGATCTTTCCAAACTCAAGTGTCCTTGGTCAGGGTTCAGATGTATTGGGTTAATTTACTGAAAAACTCACACTGGAAAAGTCATGAGGCAATGCAGATACACAATGCCATGTTTCAAGGCAGTTCACATGCCTGCTCTAGCACTTGCCACACTGCTAAAAGGCAGCTGCTGCTTTGTTGCGTGTTGCAACATCCGGCTGGATACATGTGCTGCTTTCTCTGCCTGAAGGTGGAATCAGTTAGCACTAACAACTCTCCAAGTTGCATTTAGGGACCTCTCTTCTGCCTATTGTATCCTTCAAAAAGTATTTAGTAAAACATGTCTTTTCTTGAACAAATCCTCTTCTCCTACCAAGTGACCCATCTGGTTCCACTACAATGCATGTGTAAATCCATGCATTTGCTTCCTTGAGCAGCTTGGAAAAATAAGAGAATAAACACTCCAAATCGTACATAAAATCAATACTGTTCATTACTTCAGTGGTGTGGTTTTTTGGTGGTGGTTGTTTGGGTTTTTTTATGTTTGTTTTTAGTTTGTTTGTTTGTTTGTTTTTCAGTGAGAAATTCTTCTGTCCTGATTTCTGCTATAAAAATTATATGCAATTGTATTGGGCGTATTTGCTACATGTTAGTTTTTCCTCATGTTTGCTGAATTGAAAAATCAGCAAAAATTAATGTGGAGAAATTATACCTAATCATGGAAAAACAATATGATTTGTCTCCAGCATGCAGCAAGGAACAGAAATAACGCCCAGCCAATGCATGATGAATCGTATTTATTCTAAACTCGACATTTTTACAGTATTTAAATTTAAATGGTCTTAATGAGAGCACTGAAATACATACTGTCTTCTTTTTGCTAATAGGAACCACAATAATTACTTTATTACACCTTTTGAATCTCTATCTTTTGTCTTCTGGTAGTTAATACTGCGAAATCCACACGGTGTGGGAAGACTATTGGAATTATGAACAAACTTGACCATACATAGAAATTATGTAAACACTGCGAACAGACTTTATTAAAATATACTGACCTTTGTATAAAGAAACCTAGACCGTACATGCATCTGCCTCCACTATTTTCTAACTATTCTTTGTTTCATGTACCAGCCAGGCTTTTATTGCTTGCTTTTGGTTACCACATGGTATATCAGTTTAAATGATAAAACTTATTTGGATTTTTTCCACTACTTTAGCAGTCTTGGTGGTAGTCATTGAGTACAGAGCTTAAAATAAA